TAAGTATTCCCAGGTTTCTTGGCAAAAAAACATGTACAGAGGATGGTTACATGCCACCATGTATGTTAGTGTGTGTTAGGGGAAAGACAAGAGCGATGTTAAATTCGAAGAATACAGGGTTATTGTCAGAAGGAATTTAGAATTAATGACTTGCCTGAACCTCCCATACCCTTTATTAACATATATTTTAGTTCCCCTTTCTTATTGCCCCACAAAAATCATGGTTTCTTTACTTTAATATCTCTTGAATATCATTATTTTCCTCTTATATCTGTTATCCCAACTTTATTATCTAACTAAAAGTAAGCAACACACAACAAATTTCGTTCTAAAAGGTGCTACATTAAATGGCAATAACTAGACAAAAATTGAGAGAAGCTAACTTTCTAGCAACGAATAATTTTCTGTAAATTTGGGAATTAAAATTGTACATAAATGTTTATTATTTTAAGTAAGATCCTTTATAATAAATTTGGTTTGTGAAAGTGTTAACTGAGAAATTAAAAATATCAATGTCTATAAAATTTTGAAAAGAACATTTCCATTGAAATCTATTGATTGAGGGTTATAGAAAACTTTACTACTCCAACTGGTTCAAGTTAAAAATAAGTTTTTTAAAAAAGTTATTTGCAAGTTAGACCTTTTCTGGCAATGTCAACCTACTTCAGTTCCCTATCAGACATCACTATGAGCCAAAAACCATGGCAGCGTGCGGCAGCCTGGCTGCCAGGTGACACGTACATTTTTCCCAAGGGCCAGAAAACACCTGGTGGGGACAAACAGGCTACTGATAAGCACAGAACAACCGAGAGCTACGGACCTGCCACGGTAAAGAAAACAACGCTGCTGGAAAGCAGGATCTCAGTGTAAGCTCAGTAAATTCAATCTTCTCTGCTTCTTTTCATTCCTTTCTTACAGATGTTCATAGGAAATACAGAGATACACCCACATCAGACTGAGACAACTCTGAGGCAGACAACCATGTTCCACTGGACTTATAAGAGGAAGAACAGAGAAAAGGAGGTGGGTAGATAGATGTATGCAAAGAAAGGGGTAAGGGTGCAGAAGGGGAAGTATGTCCACAAAGACAGAACTAGTGCATATGGAGAATGGTGAAATGTGTCGCCAATTGAAAAATGCTGCTTTAAATTTAACACTAAACAAGGTTTTAGAAACTAATGGCTTGACTACTGAATTATGAACCAAGAATCTCTGGGGACCAGAAGTAACAAGCTGGGAACACACAGCACTATGGGTTCATGTGAGTTGGCCTATTTCTAGAAAAACTGAAAATGACTAAATTATGAAGACTTTAAAGTAACAGATCAGAAGAATGACCATTGTATAAGAGGGCAGGGGAAATTCTGCCTTGACAATCTGACAGTTGCAAATGAACATCCATTTCCCCTAATTCAATCTTGGTTTCCTTCAGCTAAATGTTTCTTTTCTTCACCACCCCTTTCATACACCAAATGGAAGGGCTGTTTAGAGCTAACTCGCTGGTCCTAAATAAAAAGAGAGCTAAACAAAAAGATCTTTCTCACTGGCATGAAACATCTTCAAGGTGGCTGTGAAATGCTCCCAGCAGTGAGCTGAGCATGGCTGATGGGCTTCATGGAGACAGGAGCCTGACTGTAGAGACAGGGCAGGGCCTGCACTCCACAAAGGCTGCCCCTGTGAGGCTCAGCATCAAAGGGATCAAGCTTGGAACCGTTGGGGTCCGTTGCTATTTCTACATCAAAACCATTAGTGAATAAAGCAGATCCGGAGAAACATTGGCTAAGGGAGCCTCAGAAACCACATGAAACAGAAACACAGGCTTGTGAATTCCTCAAAAAAAAGAAGAATATTCCTCAAGAAAGAATATATATTTCAACTGTGTGAAGAGAAAGCTGGTTTGGTATCTCAACTCCCCAAGTAGGTAGCCTCCTCAGGTGTCATCTCAGTCTGAGTGCTTAGCAAGATCAGGAGCAAGCACCACTCTCACCAGTAAGTGAGGCGCTCAGCCAGGCTCTTGGGGGAAGGCTCTCACTTTCCCTCCTTGCATCCCCTCAATTCATAGAACAAAAGTGAAATGAGCGTTAAAAATGAAAACCAATAAAAGAAATAAGTATTTAAAAATTGAAACCAATAAAATGATGGGGTACAAAGAAATAAAATCATTTGCCTCTCCTGCGATGGCTCTGCTCACATTCCAAGGCTGTTTTTAAAAGGCAATAACAGGAAAAATCACTACCCAACCCAGAGCAGGCAGTCATTTCACCCATTTACCCGTGTTCTTAAGCTGCAGGTCACAATGTATGAAGTCATAGCAACCATTTAGTGGTTGCTATCATCATTTTTCAAAATGAAGTCAAATAGAATAGAAAGAAAAATATCAGTGTGTTTTGCAAGAAGTAAAAGTATTGGTTCCTGAAACTTTATTTCAAAGTATATGTGTATGTATGTACTAGGTCCTGTTATAAAATGTTATTTCTTACAGTGAATTAAAATCTAAAAAAGTATAAAAACCACTGAGCTGCTGAAAACTGCAAGGAACCAGACCAGGGCAGTATACTATAGACAGATTATGTATGGATCAAATATTTATGCCTGTGAAGAAGCTCATGGGTCAGCTGAGGAGCCTCAGGCAATATACAAAAATTACTCGCAGAGTTATCTAAGAACTCTCACAGCGTCCCTGAGCTGAGAAATGCAAGCTCAAGGTGTGAAAACAGGAAAGTCCCCACTGAAACTGACCTGAGAGAAAATGCTGCCCTATATACATAGTCCCCTCTAGCTTTTATCAAGATAAAATAAACCTGGACTCTGGAAGGAAATGAGTTTCTATTTCTAGAATGTCACTGACCATGGCTACAACCAAAGGACTCATTCACTGACTGGGAGATCAAGCCTTATAGAACAAGAGTAGGTGAAGACGTTACAAGAAAAAAGAAACCGCCCTAGCTGGTTTGGCTCAGTGTTTAGAGCAGTGATGGTGAACCTATGACACGCGTGTCAGAGGTGACACACGAACTCATTTTTTGGGTTGATTTTTCTTTGTTAAATGGCATTTAAATATATAAAATAAATATCAAAAATATGTCTTTGTTTCTTCATTTTACTCATTGAAAAGGACACAACATCAATTCCCTGGTATCCTGACAAACCCCCGTGTTGGGTGTGCAGGAGGCAGCCAATGATTCTCATCATTGATGTTTCTATCTCTCTCTCCCTTCATTTCTGAAATCAATAAAAATGTATCAGAAGAAAGAAACCACTCTCCTAGTCCCGCCAAGCTAGCCCGTTCTTCCTAGCACAACTAACCAAGGTGATGGCCTCTCTATGCTGCGAGTATCTGCATCCTTGTATTCCTACCCACTCCTGACCCCTGGCATAGTCACACGCTTTGTCCATCCCCATTCAGTCTACTCAAATAGCCCAATCCCAGCTATACAGGAGGAAAGGAAGCCTAGCACAAGAGACAAGTCCTTCCTAAGTGGAGACAGCAACACCAGACAGGCAATATGATCTCTTAGGATACCCCATAAGACCTGTGCTCTCTTTCCAAGTTTACTTGAAAAGAGAAGCAAATGATACTCTCCAGATCTCATAACATTGAGCCAGACCTGTCTTCACATTCCCAAAATTCCTTAGAAAGTAGGAAACATGCCTGGCCAGTGTTGCTCAGTGGTTGAGCATCTACCCATGAACCAAGATGTCACTGGCTCAATTCCCAACCAGGGACAAGCCTGGGTTGTGGGCTCGATCCCCAGTGGGGAGTGTGCAGAAAGCAGCTGATCGATGATGTTTTTCTCTCATCATTGATGTTTCTATCTCTCCCCCTTTCCCTTCCTCTCTCTCTAAAAATCAATAAAAACATATTTTTTTAAAAAGTAGGAAACATGATCTATCCCACTTAGCAAGTAATGGCTAAGCCTAAGGAAATACAAAATTCTTCACTTGTCTCAACTCTAATAAGTGCATGCCCTAGCCAGTGTGGCTCAGTTGGATGGATGTTGTCCCAGGCACCAAAAGATTGCCAGTCAGGGCACATGCTCCAGTTGCCGGCTTATTCCCCAGTGTGGGGTGTGCAGGAGGCAGCCAATCAATGGTTCACTCTCACATCAGTGTTTCTCCTCTCCTCTCTCTCTCTCTCAAAAAAAAAATCAATTAAGAGATACATATATTTTAAAAAACAACAACATTAATTATCCATCATCTTATTATTCCTTTTAGAAAGGAATGGCTAGAGATAATCTTGAACACTTTCCTGCTAAGAAAGAAAAAGGATTTCTACCCTTTCTGTAAAAGCATGGCGAGATGCAAGTATCACATTCCTTCTATTTTATTTTATTTAAATATATTTTTATTGATTTCAGAGAGGAAGGAAGAGGGAGAGAGCAATGGAAACATCAATGATGAGAGAGAATCATTGATTGGCTGCCTCCTGCACACCCCACACTGGAGATCGAGCCCACAACCCAAGCATGTGCCCTTGACTGGAATCAAACCCCGACCCTTCAGTCTGCAGGCCAATGCTCTATCCACTAAGTCAAACCAGCCAGGGCACATTCCTTCTATTTCAGAAAGGGAGACAGGAGGCAAGGAGACAAGCCAATTGCTTAGGGCCTTGCAGCACAGCAGCAGAGGCAGGGATGGGCACTGCTACAACCTTGTGTGTTTTCAACTTCCTAGACTATGTTCCTTTAACTCCATCAGCTGATGTTCAGAGTCGACGGTATATACTGCCTCTGAGAAAGTTCAAATACAAGAAAAGTTGGTAGACAGAACCTAGAGACAGAACCTAGAGACGGAACATAGCAAAAGATCCTGGACAGAAACTGGCAACAGAACCTAGAGACAGAACCTAGCGAGAGAACCTGGCTGAAGATCCTAGAGACATTTTCTCTCTATCTCTCTCCCTTCCTCTCTAGGGAAATAAAAAGGTAATATGCTAAAAAAAAAAAAAAAGAAAAGAAAAGTTGGTATATGTATATACAGTTGTATGAGATTGGTACCTGTAAGAGAGCGTGCTGCATCGTCACCTCCAGTTCGGCTAACACATGGGCAGCATCCTCACTGTCCTCTTGAACCTCCAGGTCCTCCTCAGGGATGGTCTCCCAGGCGCCCTGGTGAGCAACGGGGGTGTGGCTGACCCGAGTCTGAGTCCCGTAGGTGAAGCGGAGGCGCCGAAGCTTACAGCTCTCCTCACTGCCCAGCTTGGTGGTAGGAAGCACCTGCACCCCCAACAGCAGGTTCAATAGCTGGCACTTGACATTACAATCCTGGCCGAGGATCAAGATGCAGGGGAGGCAGTCCACAATCTGCTGGAGGTACTTCTCTTCCTTAGGTGGGAAGGAAATGCAGCTCAGCTGGCCTGGTTGGGGAAGGGGAGAGTGGAGAAGGAGAAAGGAAGACAGAGAGAAGAGTGAGGAGGGGTAGAGAGAGATTCATACAGAGACCCCATTGGGATGCCAGGGTCCTAGAGAAAAAATTCCTAGGAAGCTCTTGGTTGAAGGAGACATCAGGAAAACATCCCAGTCAGAAAAGGCTCCTCAAATATCAACCAGAATTCCGCACCCTGGCTCATCCCCAAAGCAGTTGTTTCTCCCCGCTCCTTCTCCATCCAGGGAAGGGACAGCCTAAGGCAGCAAACTCATTAGTCAACAGAGCCAAATATCAATAGTACAACGACTGAAATTTCTTTTGAGAGCCAAATTTTTTAAACTTAAACTATATAGGTAGGTACACTGTTATTAACTTAATTAGGGTACTCCTAAGGCTTAGGAAGAGCCACACTCAAGGGGTCAAAGAACCGCATGTGGCTCGCGAGCCGCAGTTTGCCGACCACTCGCCTAAGGAGTTTACAAGGACTCAGTCACAATCACAAGATCATTAAATTGACAAAGCCATTAACTGGGATGTGAGTCCAAGGAGAAACCACACCTGAATATGTTAAAATGAAAATTTTCCTTAGGACAGAAGATCTAATATTTGAACATATTCGACCTTTTTAAATGTCGCTACCATGTGAAGTTTTAGCTTGTTATTTTCCTCTTTGATGACATATTTTATAACTAAATGTATGGGACTCTCTAAATACACACATATTGAAATAAAAAGTTACTTAAGTTTACATAAGCTCTAGGATCTTTTCTGGCTCATCTCTCTGAGAGCTGGAGATAGCACCCCAGTTGCCAAGTCATCTGTTTTCTGAAAGCATCAGGTACTCAATAAAGATCAATATCTCCTAATCAAATCACATTCCCTTATATGGAAAGCGAAAGGACTGCCTGTTAGGATCCAGGCAAATCTAGGAAGAGATGTGATTTATTTAAAAAACATTCTTTCAAGACAACCACGCTTCCACAAACAAGTCCAATAGTGTTCAAGACAGAACAAAAGACTTCCTAAAGCATGAAGACCCCGTTTGAGGAAAGGAACCAGAAGTCAGTTGACTGAAACTCAGATTCTGAACTCCATCGTTCCCCCACTTGTCCAGTGCCAGTGCCTGCCTATCTCTATGATTCAGGCAACCCTTGAGTTTGTTTGGAAGGGCACAGACACATGGTTCTTAGGCTGTAAGAGGGCTGATCTGACATACATCTTAATTGAAATGTGGTGGCACCAACAAACAGTATTCCCTTTAGTCACTTAACCACGAGCTGCACACCTTCCATACATTGTTTATTTTGTTCCTATACATGAAGCAAGAGATCTCTGCCCAGACTCACTGAAGAGGTTGGTCTACTTTAGGGTGCACCTATCCTGCCACATACTTAAACCTTAAACCTGCTTCTCTTCCACAAATGGCACCACCAAACGGTTTACAGGGGTCCACTTTCACCCACACCCCCGTGTGCATTTCAGGGAGCCCTTCCTTTCAGGTCTGTCTGCAAGCACACCACCTGGCTGCACATGCACATCAGCAAAGCTGAAGCAAGGAAGTCTATGCTTCTAGGGAAGAGACGGGTCCTTTGAAAAAGCAAAGAGTGTAAATGAGGGCCTAATTCTGTGTGAGGATTTACTAAGCGCAAGAGTAAAACACCAGACCACTGGTCTTACTTTGAACTACCATCAAAAGCAATGGGACACAGCCAATTTCTTGTATGACCACTTAGCACGCAGCAATGGGCTTGTCCTGAGTGCCTGCATATCTTGTTCACAGCTAAACACTTGTCACAGTCTACTCTAGTTATCTTATTTATAATTAGCGGAACACCCAACACAACGACAAAAACATAGTAAGTACTTTATGTTACACCTTTGTTTGCTCTGTGCAAGAACCCATTTATTGTGGAGAATTGTTTATAGAAAGCTGTAAGTATTCTGCTAAAGACTCAGGAAAGTCCAGTACCATGATGAATCACTTAGGAGAGACTAACATTCCTAAAAACCTCCTTCATCTCCCCAATCACCTTGCAGAATTCATTTAACTACCGAACTCTCCGCCTGAGCAGTGAGAAGTCCAACTAGATTCACTCTCATCTACGCTTCCTACCTTTCCTCTCTTCTCAGTTCTCCTCACATCCTCAGATAGGTGCCAATTCATTCTGACAAACTTCATAACTCCTAAAACAAAAATTGGTACATAATAAAAACCTGAATGAGATTTGTTATTGCTGCAGCTAGGAGAGCGGGTAATCCTATATAATAAAAGGTTAATATGCAAATTAACCAAACAGTGGAATGACCACCAGGGGGCAGGCGCTCAATGCAAGAGCTGCCCCCTAGTGGTCAGTGCACTCCCACAGAGGGAACACAACTCAGTCAGAAGCGGGGCCCTCAGCTGGCGAGCGCAGCAGTGGTGGTGGGAGCCTCTCCCACCTCCGTGGCAGCACCAAGTACCCCTCAGGGGAGCGGGCCTAAGCCAGCAGTCAGACATCCCCCAAGGGGTCCCGGACTGTGATAGGGCACAGGCTCAGCTGAGGGACTCCTCCCCACCCCCAACTGCATGAATGTTGTGCATCAGGCCTCTAGTAGATAATGAAAATCAACTAAGCATTTTCAGAAACAGAGGGAGAGATCTCAACATCTCTGAGACACTGTCAAATATAGGAAAGCCAGTAAAACATGCTCTACATGAGCCAAAAACCACAGCACACACCCCATTATTCATCTGACCCAAATCACCATGCGCGCGCGTGTGCGTGCACACACACACATACACATACACACACACACACACACACACACACACCTCTGTAGTGACAAAAACAGTCACTACAAATAGTACCACTAGTGTCAAATAGCCATAGACCAGTGCAATGGGCCAGGGGCCGACACTGAAACCAGTTTTAATTTTTGTTTCCATGCACAACTAGGGTTCTATGTGCAATCATTTTCACTGAAGAAAGCTCTTATATGGATATTACAATTGGTTTTTCAATATCTCATTATCCAAGCCCTTTGCTTCTCCTACAAATCTTTAACTTTTTTTTATTTTATTTTTTTTATTGTTTTCAGAGAGGAAGGGAGGGGAGAGAGAGACAAACATCAATGATGAGAGAGAATCATTGATCGGCTGCCTCCTGCACGCCCACCCCCCCCAACCCCCCCACCGGGGATGGAGACCACAACCTGGACATGTGCCCTTGACCAGAATCGAACCTGAGACCCTTCAGTCCACAAACCGATGCTCCATCCACTGAGCTAGAGCAATCTTTAACTTTTTAATTGACCTCCAAAGTGTCTACAAGATTTGAACAAGGGCGTGGAGAGAAGTGAAGGTGAAACTAGATCAGTGATGGCAAACCTTTTGAGCTCGGCGTGTCAGCATTTTGAAAAAACCCTAACTTAACTCTGGTGCCGTGTCACATCTAGAAATTTTTTGATATCTGCAACCATAGTAAAACAAAGATGTATATTTTTGATATTCCTTTTATATATTTAAATACCATTTAACAAAGAAAAATCAACCAAAAAAATGAGTTCGTGTGTCACCTCTGACACACGTGTCATAGGTTCGCCATCACTGAACTACACTGTCTCACTCCTTGATTCTCTCAGCAAATGGTTCATGGTTCTGTGAGGAGGAGTGCAGCATCGAATTGGAAACAGCACTAGAGAAGGGAGATAGCCCGGTCCCCGGCTTCACCGCTGATTAGCTCTGCGACCTTGACCACTCACTTGCTTTGTCTCAGCCTTGGATTTCTCATCTCTGAACTAAGGGATTTCAGTGGTTCTCAACCTTCAGGACCTTTAAAACAGTTCCTCATGTTGTGATCCCCAACCATAAAATTATTTTCATTGCTACTTCATAACTGTCATGTTGCTACTGTTATGAATCATAATGTAAATAACTGATATGCAGGATGGTCTTAGGCGACCCCTGTGAAAGGGTCGTTCGACAGCCAAAGTGGTCTCGACCCACAGGTTGAGAACCGCTGGATTAGATCATCTTTAACATCCTTTCCAGTCCTAAAATTCCAGGATTCCATCAGGTTTTAACTGTTGAAGGAAACTTAACTGAGGGGATGGGTGGTTGGTCTGGTTGTTTTTACTCTAAGTTATATGTGAATTTAATTATGCACGCTCTCCCTGGGCTACTACTGAAACTCAGATCAAAAAACGTGACTGAACTAGCCAGGGGCTCTGAGGACCTACAGTGCAGTGCTAGCAGTTCGCTAAAGAAGATGAGAAACTGTAGGCTGACAGGAGGAGGAAGGAAGAAAACCTGCTTCAGAGGTGGAGCAGCTGCCCCACTGACAGTTAAAGGACTTCAGAGTTAATCGGGTTTTCTTTGTAATTACTATAACAGCATCTGCATATGGGCTGCCAGAAGGCAACGGTAGGGCTTCCCAGCTGGAGCACATTAACCCTGCCAACTCTGCTGCAAGAAAAGACAACTCAAATTCAAGTGCAAGCTAAGGCTTACTTTTCTCTCGGTAGTTCCTAAATACAGATTTTCTTGATTGCGATTAGAGCTGGCCCTTGAACAATGTCAACAACAAAAATATAGGGGCTCCAACAACCTGCCAGTTGACTCTTGAACAACGCGGGTTTGAACTGACCCACTCAGTTCGATTGGAAAAGGCACGTATAAGTGGACCCAAGCAGTTCACACCGACGTTGTTCAAGGGTCACCTGTACTTCTGAACAAAGCTTTCAAACCAGAAGGAGAGAGCAACTAAAGTAGCAACCCATTTTGTTCATTTGTTTTAGATAATGAAGGGGAGCAAAATATACCACTCCAAAAGCCTCTGGCATGTTGATTGATTTTAAGCTGGTTATTTTTAAGAAACAGCAGACTCGGGTGAAGCTCTGAAAACTGAGAAGTTGCCCTTTTGTAAGAAACATTTATAAGGGAAATCTCCTTTGTAAGGGTATCTTCCTCTCAGTAGCAGGAAAAAGATGACTCTAAATCTCTAGACACTC